GACATTTCTCATGCTCCCCTGCCCTGATCAAATAATATCTCCCACTTTCTCCAGTCACATGGGAAGCAGTCTTTTCTCTTTTATAGTGGCACTCGAAAAGGCCTCCTCCTCCTCCTTCTTCTTCTTCTTCTTCTTCGACAAAGTCTTGCTCAGTTTCTCAGATGAGAGTCAAACTTGAAATCCTGCCTCAACCTCCCAGGTGCTGGGACAGACCTTATGTCCCTTAAGGAACATACTGGAAAAGTGAGTCAAGAGGACCATGAATTTGAACTCAGGCCCAGCCTGGGCTACTTAGTGATACCCTGTCTCAAAGTTAAATTTTTTTAAAGGGCTGAGGATGTACCTTATTGTAGAGGCCCTGGGTTCAATATCTGGTACAAGATAAACCAAACAAAAAAAATAAGAAAGGTTATTAATGTTTTGGTTTATTCCATTTTTACTTGTTAAAATGGAATGATGACTTCTGGAATTTCTAAGCTTTTTACAGGAGAAGCCACCAGTAGTTTTTTTTTTTTTTTCTCACTGTAGATTTATATTCTTCTAGCTGTTCTTATTATCAGCAAGGTTTCAATCAACAATACTGAATGACACTTTGCACATAAATGTAAGCTTCTAATGGATGAATCCCAGGAATTGCTGAGTTAATAAGATTTGCAGATTAAGAAACCTTTATAGATAGTTGAAACCATACTTGAAACTTCACAAATTTATTTTGCAACAAACTGTGAGAAATACTTAAAATATGCCAAAAAAGATTTTCAAAAATCCCCCTCTTTTTTTTATCAATCTGGTTTTCTCACTTTCTTGTCACTAGGACCCAACACATAATTTAAAGAAAGACAGGTTTATTTTGGATCATGGTTTCAGTCCATGGTTGGCTGGCTCCAAGACAGAAAAGACATGGTGGGATGGAAAGGTGGGAGAAACTTATTCCATATGCAGGAGGCAGGAAGCAGAGAGAGGAGTCGCTTAGGGTAAGAATGCAGGACACCTTTCCAAGTCACTCCCCTAGTGACCTACCTCTGACCAGGCTCTGCCTCCTAAGAAGCCAGGTGAAGCACCTCTGCAATCCAATAGCCTTCCAAGCACAAGAGATATTTGGAGGACATTTTAAATCTAAACCATAACACTTGTGGGAAAATATCTTATTAACTTTATTTATACTTTGTAATTTGGGAAATTAAGCATCTTTTTACATGTAATTTCCCTATTTCTTTTTCTGTTCCTTAGATATTTTCATTTTCTAACTGAAACTGTATCTATAAAAGTGAAAGGAATACCTCAAAAAATATGTTAACATGGTTCCCAGTAAACAAAACAAATTGATGGTGATAATCTTTCAGTATTTCCCTTTAAGCAAAAGTAATGTTAAAGTTAATGTTTCTTGCCTTCTCCTTTAATTTTTATACTTTTTTCTCCCTCCACAAATTTTTCTCACTCACAAACATCTGAGTGCATTTCTCTCTCTCTCTCTCTCTCTCTCTCTATATATATATATATATATATATATATACATATATTGCAGTCCTACAACACTCTTATTCTTTATTTCTTATTCTGTACTTTCTTTATTATCTTGTTCTTTTTACATATTTATTATTCTCCTTGAATTTTAAATTTCATTAATTGATTTTTACATGAAAGCCATATTTGCATTTTGATTGGAACTCTAGTGAAAATTTGGCTTAACCTGGGGATAACAGATCTCTTTATAAAATCAAGCCTTTTCCTTTCTGGGCACTTCTCAGTTTGTCATCTCTTCTTATTTCTTGAATCTTTATTGCTTTATGGCTACTGTGAATATAATTTTACCTACGCTTTCTCATTTTAAATTCTAGTAAAGAGAAATCTTATCTCTGTATGTTTTTTATTTTATATATGATATCTCAGTCTCCTTATTCCGATTGCATATCTAGATTCTTTTGATTTTTCGGTCTAAGAATTATCATGTTTATAAATATCAAACATTGTATCCTTTTTCTGCCCTTTCTATCTCTGTCTATATCTCTACCATATTGCTTCCATTTATTTAGCCTCCTTTAGCAGTATCTTTGGTATACTGTTGAATTGAAGGTTAAGGACAGACAGCCTTCACTTGATTCCAACTTTCTAGAATGCTTCCAAAAATCACGACTTGCCATAAAAATTTTGTAGGCAGACTGTTAGTTTAAATCAGAATCTGCTTTAATTATATGAACTGCCTTAATTATATTTGAAGAATCAGTGTAGGATTTTATTGAATTAGTTTTGTATATTTATTGTTAGTATTGGTCTTTGTCCTTTAGTAAGGTGGTGGCTTTTGTTTTCTGATATTGGCTTATTTTTTAGCTCCTGGAGAATACTCAGTTTGATCAAGATATCTTGCTTTTATAAATTAATTTAAATTGCTAAAAGCTTATTCAGGAATCTTGCATCTACGTTTTTTTCTGAAGCTAAGCTATAATATTAGAATCTGTTGAGTTTTTGTAATATTTTGCCGGAACAATGACTATGAAAGAATTTTTATACAATATTTTGTACATGTTCCTGTAGTGTTTAGAAATAAGAATTTACAACAGGTTTTTTAGGAGATATTTTAAAATATTAATTACATTTATGTAATCATGAATGTTCTATTTAGATTTTATCACTTTCAATTCCTTTTTATTTTTTGAGAGAGAGAGAGAGAGGATCTTGCTATGTAGTTCAGGCTAGCCTTGGCCTTGAACTTACTATGTATCCGAGATTGGACTCTAATTTTCTGAGACCCTCCTGCTTCACCCTCCTGGGTGCAGGGAATATAGACATGCACCACCACCACACCCAGCAAGAATATTTTTTCTTGAAATTGCCCATTTTATCTAAGTTTTTAAAAAATTGACTTTAAGATACACAGGGTTTTCTCTTTTGTTTTAAAAATACTGTAAATGGAGTTATTACTTAGAAACATAGTACCTTTATTAAATGTTATTTTTATTCCACTTTTCCTCATTTACTTCTTTTTGATATATTACTTAATGCTTTCTCTGCATAAACTCTTAGTTTTTGTTTGTTATAAAATGATTCTGTTTTTAAACCTGAGTAATAATTTATCTGAATAAGGAAAGAATAAATAAGCAAATGGAAAAGTAAGTGTAAAATGTAGAAGTTCTGTGGAGATTAGAAAGCAATGCAGAAACAGGCTAGTTTCTACTTTATTCTTGAGAGAGAATTTCTCTGATTTGGGGGATTTAAGCAGAGCTAAAAATGAGAAATAGAGTAAGTATCTTTACACACCAAGCAAAAAGAATTTACAAAGACTGAAGTTGAACTAGACATTCAAGAAAGCTGACTATATGAGGGTGCCATGGTTCAAATGTGAAAGGGCTTCATCCACAATGCAGCAACATTCAGAGCTGGGACCTGTGGTTGCGACTGAATCATGAGGCACTATGCCCATCAGTGGATAAATCCACTGATAAATCCACTGATGACTCAATAGCTGGATAAACTACTAAGTGTGGTCTGCTTGAAGGGAATAAGTCATGCAGGACTGTATTTTGTTTCAGGCTTTTTTTTCTCTCTGGCTCTCTTCCATTCTTTGCTTTCTGCCTGTTACGAGGTGAGCTACCTTCTTCCGCCATTCCTTTCCATCTTGGTTTCTGCCTTACCACAAAGGAACCGCTGACCATGGACTGAAATCACTGAAACTGTGAGCCAAATTAAAGCTTTTCTTTAAGTTATTTAGCCAGGTATTTTGCCGCAGTGACAGAAAGCTAGCA